AAGTCATTTACAGGTACATCATAATCAACCTGCTAACAACTAAAGTTAAAGAATAAATCTTGAAAGCACCTAAAGAAACAATGATTCAAATAGCTGTAGAGTTTTCCTTGGACATCATGGAGGCTGGAAGACAATAGAACAGCATCTTTAAGTACTGAGAGGAAAGCATGGTCACCCCAGAATTCTGTATCTAATGAAATTAATCTTTAGGAATCACAATGATAGGAGGACACTCCCAGGTGAAGGAAAACTAAGAGAATTTGTTGTCAGCATACCTGCTCTATGAGAAATGCTAAAAGTTTTTCAGTCTGACTGAACTGATAGAAGGAATCTTGGATTTTCAGGAGTGAAGGAAGAGTTACTTAACGAGCATCCTGTTGTTCTGGCCTTGGTGCCATCTTTAGACTTGACCACTTTTGCTAGATTTACATTTGACTGAGAGTTTTCAAGTTTTTAACTTGAGCCCACACTTTGGATTCTGTTTCTTTATTTCTGCCTGATATATTGCTACCCCAGGCTTATTTCCTATTTTTTGTATTTAAGTTAGAATCTTAGATAAATTTTGACTCAGTTGCTTTCTAAAAAGGTACTTCCCCTACCCCCACAAAAAAAAAAGAAAGAAAGGAAGAAAGAAGGAAGAGAGAGGGAAACAAACAATAAAAGACTTAAAGATAGAGAACAAACAGAGGGGTGCTGAAGGGGAGTGGGTGGGGGATGGGCTAGATGGGGGATGGGTATTAAGGAGGGCACTTGATGTAATGAGCACTGAGTGTTGTATGTGGGTGATGAATCACTGAATTCGGCTCCTGAAGCCAACATTGCATATGTTATCTGACTAGAATTTGAATAAAAATTGGAAAAAAAATGTATTTTTGTGTTGGCTGAGCTTAAGCAAGTATATTTTTTAATCAATTATTGAAGTTAAGATGCCATATTTAGTCCTAGATTTGCAGCCTAGTATGAAATGGTCATGAAAATTATGGTTGAGTCTACCTGAGAAGCTATTTAATTTTTATTTCTCTCTTTCCCACATACTTTCACAGTTTGACAAAATCATTAATTTTCCAATCACATTATAGACAGTATTCAACTCAGTACTTTAATTGGAATAATAGCTTAAGTTTTTTTATAACAATTGAAAAGGCCAAAATAGTAAGCTACTGAGAATAATGTCCTTTTTTTGTACTCATTCATTTAATATGTGCAGTCCTGCATGTTTCAGATTTAATAAAATGCTTTTATTCATCTCACACAGGAAGTAAGAAATGTCAGCTTTTCGTTCTCCTTCCCATTCCTCAGTACTTTGACCTTTGGTACTGACATTATGTGTTTCCCTTTTTTGGTCAAAAGTGTTACTAATTTTAATATCTGAAATATGTGTGCCTGTCTGCCAAAGCAGAGTGTAAATATTGATCTGTTACCACTGTAAAAAGTAAATCATCACGTTATGGAAAATTTAGACTCATAATCACATATTATTTCCCCATCTCACAATACAATAAGGCAATGCCAAATTGAAATGGTGGGCAGCTGGGGCGCTTGGGTGGCTCAGTCGGTTAAGTGCCTGACTCTTAGTTTTGGCTCAGGTCATGATCTCAGGGTCTTGGGATCGAGCCCTGTGTAGGGCTCAGCGCAGAGTCTCCTTGTCCTTCTGCCTTCCCCTCTATCTCTCCTCCCACTTGTGACTGCTCATATGCTCGCTTGCACTTTCTTATAAATAAATAAATAAATAAATAAATAAATAAATAAATAAATAAATAAATAAATAAATCTTTATTAAAAAATGGTGCGCAATTGCAAGCTTTAGTAATTTTTGCAACCACATCAAAACACTTCTTTACACATTTAATTATTTTGTAACTAATGATTAAAATAATTCCTTTTGCTTGCTCCCATGTGATTTTTAATAGATTTTTCAAATTTCTTTCAATATGTGGTTTAATAGATACTGCAATTCAGAAGTATTGATATAATTTTAATTTTTTCGTAAAAAAAAATTAAGTTTTTAGCATTGGCATCACCATACTTAGAGTATAATAATCTAGAAGCACTAACATTATCTTTGACCTTTTTTTTTTTTAAAGATTTTATTTATTTATTTGAGACAGAATGAGAGAGAGAGAGAGCTCATGAGAGGGGGGAGGGTCAGAGGGAGAAGCAGGCTTCCCGCCGAGCAGGGAGCCCAATGCGGGACTCGATCCCAGGACTCCAGGATCATGACCTGAGCTAAAGGCAGTCGCTTAACCGACTGAGCCACCCAGGCGCCCCTATCTTTGACCATTTTTTATTTTACTATTTTCTGTTTCTAGTCAAGCACCCCTGATGCTTTTCTTAAAATATCTCTGGAATTCTTTAAATTTGTCACACTGCCTCTGTTCTAGTCAAATGTCTACTTGTTTTCTCAGCCTAGACTCTCCTTCCATTCCACTGCTTCTTGTATATCCATCATTCTAGTTTTTTCAAAAGAGTGCTGTTATTCTCTGTGAATCTTCAGGAGATGTCATATTCTCACTGCTGTGAGTCCAAGTCTCTCTACCCAGAATTCATTATCACTCACGTCTGCATGAAGGCCTTCATAAGGAACTTATTTCCTACTCTTCTCCCATGGGCGTCTTTGATACTGGTTGGGCTCCAAATAGCCGGTTGTGCATGCTCATTTATATTTCACTTACGTGCCTTTCCTGATCTTTCAGCCCCACCCCCAGCCCCTGCTGGCAGCGCTGTATCCATTTTCCTTTTCAGCTTTTCAAGTGCTGGTCTCCTCCAGCACATTTTGCAGAAGTTTCTCCCACCCCTCATCTACCTCTTCTTTCTCTGACCTTCCTATCACACATCATCTCTCTCTTTTTTTTTTTTTTTTTAGGATTTTATTTATTTATTTTAGAGAGAGATCAAGAGAGCACATGTGAGTCGGGGGAGGGGCAGAGGAAGAGGAAGAGAATCTCAAGCAGACTTTGTACTGAGCCCAGAGCCCAAGGCGGGGCTCGATCTCATGACCCTGATATCATGACCTGAGCCACCCAGGTGCCCCACACATTGTCTCTTATATGTATGGGAATTCTCAATGGTGGAGACCTTGTCTTATTCTCTCTGCACCTGGCCCCGTGGTGTGTAGCTGATTGTTTGCACTTCTGTCCCATTTCATTCCTGTAGTAACTTTATAAAGTGAGGTGAGGAAGGTTTCTTGTTGCTATTTATCCAGTGCTAGGACATGATGATCCTTCCCTCAACTCCCTCCCCCCACACATCCCAAATTAGAGGCATTTTTTGTGTGTGAATTAGATAGGTAGATTGGCAAGCATACCTAAATGAAATACTGTGCTAATGGAACCAAGAATGAAATTGACTCCTGTGTGCATCAGTTAGGTTCAAATAGAACAAAACCCCATTTAAGCATCACAGACTGTTCCCTGAATCCTTCCTGCCCATATTCAAATGCATATGTTGCTCAGTATTGGGGAAATTGGGCAATAAAGTATGAATTTCCCAGCACAGATCCCTTGTAATATTATAAAAATAATTAGAAATTAATATATTTTGCACTTGTATTACTTCCATTAAAAATAGTTACTAAAAATGCTCTGGGTAACAGTCTCTAACAAAGATTGACAAACTTTTTCTGTAAATGGCAAGATAGTAAGTATTTTTAAGCTTTGCAGGCCACATATGGTCTCTGCTATATATTCTTTTTTGTTTTTGTTTTTGCTGTTTTTTTGCCACCTTTTGGAAATAGAAAAACCAGTCTTAGCTTGCAAACAGTATAGAAGTGGGCCACCGGCCAGATTTTCCTGTGAGCCCTAGTTTGCCAACCCCTGGTCTGTAGCAGTAAGAAAAGGTAGTCTGTGTAATTGGGCATCCAATAGGGCAGAAGATTTTCTGTCCGGTAGAGAAGACATTGCTAATACTAACCCAACCCCTAAACAAACTGGGATGTGCCCAGGGGGTGCAATAAAGTGGCCGGAACATGGAAAACCTTACCCTGAGGGGAATGGCTCATGGAACAAGGGCAGGATTAGAGAAGGCCAAGAGACAGCCTCCGTGGTCTTCAACTTGGAAGTTCCATAATGTGGAAGAAGTAGACTTGCCCTACACAGTGCTTCCTTTGGTACCTTGAGTAGATTGTACTGTCTTCACAGAGTAAATGTCCGTTCCCTAGAGATTGCTTAGCAGAGCTTACTCGGCTCAGAGAGGCTTCATGGCAGTGATTTTTCCTGAAAAGGATGAAGTACCTTGTAAAGAACTTCCCAACCTTTAGACTTAGTGATTTGGCGTAATACAGGGACATATTGTAGTCACCATGGAACAGATTACAACTATAGGTATCATTAATGAGGGAATATTAAAATATAAATGGAAGGACTTCATTTGGATGAAATTAAAGTAAATCTTCATAGGATGTGTATACTTTGAGTGGGTTTTTAAAAAAGGAACCACATGGCTGAACAGTATCCAAAAATGTTGCCTACCAACAATTTTCATCTTACTATATTCTTTGCCATTGTGAAAATTTCCAAAAGACATCAACTCTCAGTCCAGATACTTTTCTGTCTAGTTCATATAAACAAGGTGCACTTGCTGGGATACTATAATTTGTTTTTAAGGCTCCTACTACTTACCTAGATAGAAGGTAAAATCACAAAAGTATCAAAGACCAGGTACCTAGAGGTGACCGTAATTGTTCTTTTCCCACACGAGCAACAACTTTTGATTCATCAAGCAGCAGAAACCGGGGTAATAGACTTCTGGCTCATATTCACTACTTTGTGTCTCTCCTTTCTCTAGGCGAGCACTCTTCTCCATTAAAAAAAAAAAAACAAAAACTCTAGCAGGCTAATTTAAAGACACCTACTTCTGTTGGATTATTTGCATACTTCGGCATTCACGTCTGTGGAAATTGCTACAGCTACTGATTTTATTTGTTTTGAACTGTTAACAGTATTGATTCATTTTATTTAATTTAATCAGGATGCGATTTATCTTAATTTTGATTTTGGTTGTAGAGGTTGGCGATTTGAAGGAGCTGCAGACACTAGACATTTCTACCAATCGTTTGCTAAGTTTACCCGAGAGGCTTCACCTGTGCCTTTCCCTGCAGTACCTCACCGTGGACCGCAATCGTCTACGGTGCGTGCCGCGTCATCTCTGCCACCTGCCCAGCCTCAATGAGCTCTCCATGGCTGGAAACCGTCTCGCATTTTTGCCACTTGGTAAGTGATCGTGTTCATCTGGCAAAGCAAAAAAGCCAAAGACTAAGACGAAAGCCTTTGTGTCCTTGACTAGGAAGGATAGGGTAGTTGCCTTCTTTCTGTTTATCCCTGAATTGCCCCTCTAAATCCATTTTTATAGTGAACAAAGCATCAGTCCCAGTTAACGAAGTTTATTTCAGTCTGGGATTTCATATTTTAAAACAGAAATCTGTGCATAAATGTCGTTTAGGGACAAAATATAGGCGATATGAGATGATTTACTCTAAAAAAGGAATGAAAGCATATGTATGTATATTATATATATGTAAGACCATAAAATTGATGGGGGGTATTGAGCAATATGAAAGGACAGCTACTGGTACAAAGATACCTGTCTAGATGTTGAATTCTACATAGAAAAATTTGTATTGGGTATCCTAATGATTAATATTGTCGGATAACCAGACTACACAATTTTAAAAACTTTACAATTGGCCGAACTCCCTGCTGAGCTAGAAATGTCACACTGGCTAACAAATAACATATTATTCACTGTAGGTTTCTGTAGCAGGCCCATTTTAATAAAAGAATACATTTATTTTCACTGAGAATTGAACTATTTTGTTAACTTGTAAGAAACAAAGGTGCCATTTAAAAAAAATTAAAATATGAGGCCCCGCAGAACCCTAAGCTGTCATAGTAAGCCTCCTATGATTTTACTCATAAAAGCATTTTTTATTAATAATTTATCCCTGATGGCAGTGAAGTGAATAATTTACTAGTCTCTGAGAAGAAATATTTTCTACCATAATACAGTACACATATTATTTTCAATTAAAAATAACTGGGAAATGTGAAAATCAATTTGAATAATACCAAATAATTATCCAATTTAAAAAGATTACTTTTCTATAAATATAATTAAATTCTATACTTATAAAATTAGCAAAATGAAATAAAACCATTTCAGAAGCAAGTTACATTTCTAAGAAACCAGAGCTTTCTTTTAAGTGAGAAAAATATCAAATATAAATAGATTAAAAAAATAAAAGTACCTGCTGGTTTAATCACAGGTTATAAAACAATTACAGCAGTGAAGCACCAACCTACAAATCGAGAGATCCAGGTTCTAACCTGGTTCCCCCCACCTCGCAGTGCATGACCTGGAGTAAATCACTAAAACCTCTCTGAGCTTCATTTACCTTATCCGTATAAACCAGAAATAATAACATTTATCCTGTTGACTTTGGAGTTATTTTGAAGTCCAATAAGATAGCGTGTATGTAAGAACTCTAAAGCACTGTACAAATGCAGATGACTCAACTGAGGAGATGGAACTTGTGGATTATCATATCCTGCTTTTTAAAAGTTCCGTCCTCCTTCTCATATTCATACCCTCTGTAGGAACCCCCAGACTTGTATTTACCACTTCTAGGAGCTGTTGCCTGTACCAATGCCGACTCCCTACCAAGGGATGGCTAGGATGGCGCAGTCGATGCTGATCGGTGAATCAGGGAAGGGAGGGGGGAGGGAAGTAAAGGATGTGATGATTTGATCTGCGTGGTGTAGAACTCAGCGGTCTAACGTCAGCATTCAAGGTAAAGCTAGACGCCCCATTACAGGCAACCATGATTTGACTCTCAGGCATTCCTGGAAACAGATTCGCTTGTTAAGTCTGGAGTTGCCCATACTATTGTTCATAGAATTATTATTATTACTGTTGTTGTTACTACTGGCCACATCAATAAGGAGTGTCTCCATGAGTAATACTACTGCAACTCTTTGTAAGAACAATCATTTATTGAATTAGGTATTCTGTTAGGCACGGTACAGAGGCTCTCTAATTTAATTATTACAGAACCTGTTATTACAAAACCTATTGACAACCTGTTTACAGATGAGGAAATTGAGATTCAGAGAAGTTAAGTAACCCACCCAGAATCACAGCTAGTGAGAGACAGAATTGAGTTTCAGACTCTGTCTGATTCTAAACTCCACATTCTTTCCACCTTGACATGCTATCTCCACATCCCAGGCATGATCTCTCTACAAAGGGACCTCATTTGCAATAGGGCTGAACTTGGGGCACCTGGGTGGCTCATTTGGGTAAGCACCCAACTCTTGATTTCAGCTCAGGTCATGATCTCAGGGTTGTGACATCAAGCCCCACGTCAGGCTCTGTGCTGGGCATGGAGCCTGCTTAAGATTCTCTCTCTGCCCCTCCACCTACCCCTCTCTCCCTCCTCTAAAAAAAAAGGAAAGAAAAAAGGAATAGGGCTGAACCATACTGAGCATCTTTCTAATTGTATAGCCACCTCCAGTGTCAAATTTGGGCAGCCATTTTGTATTGAAATACTCATATGGACACTCTAGTTGGCCCAATTCAATCTCTGTCTCTACATACTTAGCAGGGTCTGTCTGCCAGAGGGTATAGCTTTGTCTCACCTACCCACTCTGGACACCAGCCAGGTGCTCCAAGTTACTTATTTCTAATCTATCATCAGCAGGTCCTACAACAAGAAAAATCTTATAAAAGCTTAGGCCAGAGACCTGTTATCTAGTTCTTTCTTGGTGTTAGCCATTCTTCTTACTTTGCCTGGCCCCTTCAACCTCCCTGGAGTTCCTGATTCCTTAATTTTATGCTGTTCACAACTTGTTTTTCTTGTCTTCTTGTTTCTTCCATCAGATATGCTTTGTCTCAAGTCTAAACCATTCATCAGCAACTGACTACATCCTGCCTATGGCTCTGATCCACAGCCCTGTTCTCACGTCCAGAGGTACACTTACCAGAATGCCATCTAGCTCAAGAGCCTGGGTTCTGCCTAGAATCCCGTGTACAGTCGGACTTTTTAAACTAAATGAATCTTGTTTACCAGTCTTTAGCCTGTGGGTCCTGTCTCAAGTCCAGCCAGGCTCCATGCCCTTCATCTTGCCTGTTCTCCCTACCTCACTGTAGTTCATCCAGCTATGGCTCCTTATTGCCATGGTCATTTGCCACTCTGCTAACCTGTCGTTTTAGCAGTGACACAGCCAAGCACGTGCTGTGGTGGTGGTGGCAGTGATGCTGGGAGAAGAGAGAAGCCATTGCAATAGGAACTTGATGGCTCTTGGTTTGTAGTACCGAGGAGTAACCTTGTGGATCATGCTGAATTGCCTGCAGCAGCAGATGGCGGGCGTGGCAGTGGCTGGTGCCAGGTGATAGAAACGATCGTTAGGTAGAAGGTAGAGTCCACGACACATTGCCTGGCTGCTCTTCTGCTTTGGCACCTCAGTCATTTATTTGCTGGGGCATCTTCTGTGTGCCCTGTGGTAAGTGCTGGTGTGGGCGAGGATGTGGGCGTCTCTTCTTCAGCACTGGGGTTCAGTGGTGAGTAGAGCCTTGCAGATTGCTCTCTGTCTCTAGAGGTCTTGTCACCCCCAAAACCTTGCCTCTGTGTTTGGAGAGATTTTACTTTGTGAACTGGTCGATATGGTGTCAAAGAGCATGAGAGGCAGGAGGATCTGCTCTGGGTTCTGAGGAGGAGGGTCCCTCGCATCATCGAGGTGACCACAGCTCTCCAGCCTGGGGCCACGGACAGCCCAGGAGATGGAAGCGGTTTCACATTCCTCACAAGGCTCACGGCCCTGGCAGGACACAGGCCTGTGGGTAAGGGTTGATTTTACCAGAGAAAGACATACAAGCAAGAGGAGGAGGTTAAAAATTGTCCACTTAGAAAGAAACAGGCTGACTGAAGCAGTGCTCAGCCCTGGTCTCAGACTGATTCTTTGAGAACAGCAGGAGCCCAAGGTTAGGAAGCAAATACGAGCACTAGTGGCCTTTCTCCCCTGTTATACTGGGTGAACCTTTGTAAAGAAGTGGGTGAGACCGCCAGAGAGGGCTTCGGGAAATTGGAGACAGGATAATCTGTGAAGATGATGAAAATGAATCTGACAGAAATATCAGCAATCTTCTTCATGTTGTTTTTCGGTTTTGTGGGAGGTTTTGTTTTCCTTTTTGTTTTTTTAATACCACGAAGGTGGTTTTGGAAAAGGGGTTCGATTAGATCTTTCGGAGAAAAATAATTAAATCCATAGATGTCCTTCCACAGAGTTTGTGCACTTGAAACCTTTCTTTGAACTCCTTTCTGATAAACAAAAGCTGTCTAATGCTATGAACTATGGCGGACAGAGTCAAATGAAGCATGCGGCTGCAGGCACTGCCTTTCCTCAGACAACTGAACTGTTCTTGGAAACCTAGCAAATAGGGATGTCTCTTTACAGTAGTTAGGAGATACTGTGTGTATACATGCACACACACAACTAAAGTTTTCAAATAGAAGTCTCTTATGTTTAAACGTGATTCTATGAGCATAGTACAGGAACTTAAAGGCTTATGAAATGGGTGCTATAATATCTCTGCCCGGGATTGGACATAGGAATCCTGTTTTGGGGAGTTACTTACAGAATTTGGTTGCTCACCAAAGAAGGTTGTCTTAGAAGAAAAGCAAGTTTTTATCTCTGGCTTCATGGGGAAAAAAAAAAAAAGAATGTCATGTTTCAGCATCTTCAAAAAGCACCTAGAGAAGGTATATATAGGGTGACTTAAATAATGTGTAAGACTAGCTAAGCCATAACACTCTTCGAGGACATTCTTTTAAAGATGAAAAGATGCATCAAGAAAGAAGAATGCTCCTACTCTAATGATACCATGATAATTGATTGAGTGACAAATCAGTCTACAAACAGAAGCTTTTTCCACAGTGGTGACTATCGGTGAGGAGGAGAGGGAAACTAATCACTTGAGTCTCATGCTGTGATATTTACTAGAGGTTTTGAAATGAGAGTATTTGTTGTTGATTCAATATAGGTCTGCATACTAAATAGTTCTCAGAGTTGTGACTCACCTCTGGGCTTCTGAAAGGTAGGAAAATACAAAGGAAAGGGTTTTTTTCCTCTAAGTCTTTTTTACCAGGTATTCCTGGTCTCTCTTGTATAATTAATAAGCCTGATTATTCAGTAATGTTCACAACTTATTTAATGAT